CTATTCCTCACCTCATACTCCACATCTTCAAACTGCAATGCATAGATGTTGACAACAATGACGCAGTTTATGTGTATATAGTTAGTTATCTTGCCATATCGACTAGGTACGACTTAGAATTGTTGTTAATAAGAATCTGATCATACGTTTTAACTTTCAATTAAGACAAACAGAAACAAATAAGAGAAAGATCGAAAAGATTGATCATTAATCACCTTGAGAAATATTGGAAGAGGGCAATCTTTATTCATATTCAAGCTATGTTCTTCAATATCAATCTCAGAATACCTATTTCTAAGGTAGGCTTGAGACATGAAGTCTATGCTGTGGCCAAAGCCATTGCTCCCTGCAATTTGCATAGACCCCATTGTTGGAGGGGACAGTGACATGTTCTCAATTTCTTCTTCCTGTCTTTTGGTTTCCATATTCATAGTTAGATACTAATGCAAAAACTAGGAGCACTATATCTATTTCTAATTATACCTGGTGAATCAAAATCTGCAATGTTAAGTGAATCAACTGTAATAAACCAAAAGCTTGCCTATATAGTGAGGAAAGGTTTTGTTTGGTTGGCCACATGCTTTCAATGCCTAAACTCAAGACTAGAAAGTAGAAGAAAACTCTTTTTTAAGTTCCTATATGCCTTTCCAACCATTTTGCCTACCTCTCTTTCCTCTCCTTAATTTTTGTTTTGATATTAGCAGTTCCAAGAACATGTAACAATGTCTTTATATGTATGATGTTTGTGAATTTTTAACCATAGGAACCTAGCTAGCTAGAACAAGAAAAAATAAAAGAAATTTGAGTGATGCATCTCTAGTTATTACTAGCATAATTAACCCGTACGTTGATACCCGTAACCTTATAAAATCAATTTTAATATTTTAATGAATTTTGAAAATTTAGGTGAAAAAAAAATCAAAATCAATCAGTATTAATTCTTGATTTTTTAATTTACTACATATTTTATCGTATTTAATATCATTTGTATTTTTATTTTGAATTTAAATATATTTTATGGATATATTGATTTTGATAAATAAAAAAAGAATGCAATTAATTTTTTATATCATTTAAAAATCTAATTAGAAGCATCAATAATCGAAAGAAGATAAAAATTGACATCGAAATGACACTAGAGCAATCTGGATTAAAAGGGTATTTAATTTTAGTTAATGAGTCTATAATTATTGATTAAAAAAAACCCTATTATTCTCTATATGACTGTTCTTTTTTTTTTTCCCTCATTGATATAATTTTAAACATCAATTTCTATTATTTGAAATGTAATTATAAATTTGTATATAGAAAGACAATAAGATCAAAAAATGAATTATTTAATGTGTCTATGCTATTTTAAAAGAATAAAAAATCACATTTTTTAAGACATGTTGAAGAATTATCATCAATTTTGAAACGAGACATAATCCATTAAAAATTAATATAAAATAAAATATGATAAATTATTAACCATTAATTTTTTATTCAAAATATTTTCTTTTATAATTGTCAATCTATCCATAGCACTTGCCAGGTGGCATGTTGGATTGGATGCTCGCCAGTTTAGGTTGTATTTGTTTCAGAGAAAATAAGTTTCAGGAATTTTTTTTATTTTCTCTTATTTTCTGATATTTGTTTCACGTTTAGAAAAAAAAAAATCAACAGAATTTGATTTCTAGTTCTACAAAAATTAATAGACTATTTTTGAAAAAGTGATTTCCGAGCTAAAAAAGAAGAAAACATTTTTCTCTCTTCTCTCACGAGTTGTCTCGCTCTCGCATTACTCACCTCTCTCTCGGTATATTTTAATAATTTTTTCTTTGTCTCCTTTTTTATTTAAAATATATCAAATTAATTTTTAATTATTTCTTATTAATTATTTTTAATTATTTAATTATTTTTTCTCTATTTCTACTAACATTTGATTTTTTTTAAATACATTAAATATTCTTTAAAACCATTTTTACACCTTAAAATTATTTTTATAATAAATATTTCAATAGTTTATCTCTATTTCTTTTATCATTTTCTCATATACTACCTAAACTACACATAAATGATTGAAAATGATTATTAAACAATCATTTATGAAAAAATTGAAACTAATTAATTTATTAATAAACGCATTATTAGTAATCACATTTTTTAAGACATGTTGAAGAATTATTATCAATTTTGAAACGAGACATAATTCATTAAAAATTAATATAAAATAAAATATGATAAATTATTTACTAATTTTTTATTCGAAATATTTTTTCTTATAAATGTCAATCTATCCATGGTGCTAAGATATATATATATATATGGGCGAAAGTGCTTGCCAGGTGGCATGTTGGATTGGATGCTCGCAGCCTAGGCTGTGTTTGTTTTGAAAAAAATAAATTTTAAAAACTTGTTTCTTCCATTTTCTGATATTTATTTTGCGTTTAGGAAAAAAAAAAAAGTCAACAGAATTTGATTTCTTGTCAACGAAAATTAATAGACTATTTTTGGAGAAGTGACTTCGAGCTTAAAAAGAAGAAAATATTTTCTTTCTCTCGCAATCTGTCTCACTCTCGCATTACTAACATCTCTCTCGATATATTTTAAAAATTTTTCCTCTCGTCTTCTTTTTCATTTAAAATATACCAAATTAATTTTTAATTATTTCTTATCAATTATTTTTAATTATTTAATTTCTTTTCTCTATTTCTACTAACGTTTGATTTTTTATTTATAAATACATTAAATATTCATAAAACCCATTTTTACACCTTAAAATTATTTTTTATAATAAATATTTCAATAATTTATGTCTATTTCTTTTACCATTATCCTAAACTACACATAAATGGTTGGAAATGATTATTACACAATCATTTGTGAAAAATTTGAAACTAATTAATTCATTACTAAATACATTATTTTCCCAACACTATACGTTTGTAGCTAAATCAATAATTTTTGACTAATTTTAATCGAGTGTAAACTTTTGCTGATAATTGTAATCAATAATTAGTTACAAATTATTCCAACATTAATCTTTTCATGCCAAATGAATAATTATTTACAAATAATTACTAATAATTTGTAAAATTATTTTTTAAACTAAATTATCAGTTCAATTTCTAAAAAGAAAAAGAAAAAAAATGCTTAATTGAGTTACTAAGATAACAATGCTAGGATTACTTAGAAATATTTTTTTATTAGATGTGAATATTGACTTGATTTTGTTCTAAGTAGTTTTAATAAATTTGTTTGATAGTTAAAAATATATTTTTTATTTTATTGATTTTTTTGAATTTAAATCTTAGAGTTAGTATTTATAAAAATTTATTAATTTTTTCTAAATGCATCTTATTGATTTTTAAAATATATTTTTAAAATCTTTTGAAAAAAGATTTAGTTTCAATTGTAACTTGATTTTAAAATATTTCCTACATCTAAATGGAAAAAAAAATTATGGTCCAAATGATATTTCAATACCATGGGTCTTTATCTCGATATATTCTTTATTATAACTAATGCTTTCTGCTTCAATACACTAACATATCGGTAACTCATATGTTCTATTTTTGTAGCTTTTTGTACATCGACTATTATGGATGTGGAATCTTTTAACAATTTTTATATTATGAGATTGTGAATATATCTTGTTAAAATTTCCTTAAAATTCGTTGATAGAAAAAGCAAAGCTTGTTTTTATATTTTAATTTTTCGTATCAAACAAATGTTGGAATATATTTTTCAACGAGCTTTTTAATGTAATTGTCAAACGTCGGAAAATATTTTTTTGAAAAATAATTTTTTTAAAAATATTTTCTTCAAAATTACTTTTCTTATTGAAAATTATTTTTCGTCAAACAAACAGAAGTCGTTGATGTTGACGACTTTCGTTACTAAATAACCGAGTCGGTTGGTTTTGGCCCTTTTTACCTTGTTTCTACACCCAAAAACCACAATGTGTATTCCAGAACCACCAATCTTTGGACCCCTATTTATAATTTCATTGAAATCAACCAATTGAAGTTACATAATCCTCCTTAAATTTATTGAGAGAGTAACCCTAAAGTTTCAATCACTAATCAACTAATGAGATTTTTTTTAGTACCTAAACTCTTAAAATAATTTGATGAGTTCATATTTTCTGCTTTCAATTAAAAGGTCCAAACAATACCATACTAAGTACTATTGAATTATGGATGTGAGTTTTACACAATTATGAAAATAAATCTATTAATTATATAAGTGGAACTTTCAATTAAAATATGTCAATTAATGTATGCTTTTAGGGCACATGTTAGAAACATTCATAATCAAAATAAAAATTCATTTAAGTTGCGGAGTTCATTAAAAAATATAAAAACAAAATCATTATTTATAAAAAGAAAACTATACTATTTTTTAATAAAAAAAATAGATCATTCTATGTAAATTAATTTACTCACACTAAATTTATAAGTTCATTTTTTTATCTAATAGAAACTAAACATGAAACTCATTAATTAAAAGACAAAAAAAAAAACTCAAATGTATGTGAATTGCTTCAAATGCATATTTTAAATTTAGAATTTTAATTTTACGATATTTTTTTTATTTGTTTAGTGAAATGTTACATAACGTCTTTCTTTCTTTCGCATCAACATTAATTGGTTTTTATTTATCCTTTTAATAGAAATAATAGATATGAAATTAGATTAAAGAAAAAAATGAGGCAGACAAATTATAGAACTTAAATCACCATTCAGATTTTGACTGAACCCCCTCATTCGGTCATTCCATTGCCCCTTACATATATATATATATATATATATATATATATATATATTAAAAATATATATATTTTACCAAACACAACCCCACCAACCTTTTCTTTATCCAAACCCTCCGTCAAAACAATACTTCCAACTCTATGAAACAAAGAAGTACTGACTCTCGAATTTCAATTAAAAAAAAAAATTGGATTCTTCCTCAAACACCAAAGCCAGAAAAAATAAAAATAAAAAAAGCACCGAATGATGGAAGTATCAGAATCTGGTCATGATATGATGTTAAGTTCACTCAGAACCGCCGGCGTTTGGATCCCGGAAAACGTTGCATCGATCCGAGACTTCACTCCGACAATCTTCGTCTCCGTCTGCGCTCAGTGTGTTAATCTGATAGATCAAACGGCGTCGCTGCCTACTACTCTGCCGGATGCCACGATCGATAAGTTGAAGACGTGTACGGACATCGCTTTAGCTATTAAGCGACTTGGTTTTATTGGAGACATGACCTATATTAAGGTAATCTCATCAGTAACTGTTTGGTTATGTTATGTCGATACCAAGATGGAATTTTTTTTTTTTAAATTTTGTTTCTCTGGCTGTTTAAGTAGGCTGTAATGTAATCCCACCATCTTCTTCAGATTCAGTATTAGCCCAACTAATAATTTCATCTTCCAGTTTATAAGTTGTTAGACACAACATAAAAATTATGCAGATGACCTTTATTATTTATTAGACAATTCAGCATCCAAGTGAAGTAACAAATCTTATTAGTTTTTTTTTAAGTTTTTTCTGTTTGTATATGAGTTAGCATGTGATTTAGAACATTGGGTGTGTCAGTTTTTGGATTCCTCTTCTCTCTAATATGTGTAATAGAGTTACTAAAGTTAATATGGAATTCTCAAAACCTATCTTGTACTTACTTTTGTGTCCATGGATCTTTTCCTGTGCTAATTCATCGAGGATTAATGCATCACATGATGGTTTAGTTTATTCTATATATGTGTAAACTTTCGGACGCATCCAATAAGCTTTCAGACATTTATCCAATCATAGTGAAATTCTGGGGTCATCTTGGTTTTGGGGCTTTTCTATTATTCCATCCATATGTTTGATTTTGGCTGCTTTTCTTATTGTTTTGAAATTATGCTTAAAACAGATTAACTGTGTTGCTTGCGGCAGCTCCTGTATCCTTCCGAAGAGGACCTGCATAAAATGACTAGATTCTTGGTGGAGAGACTTTCTGGGTCATCTGGACGTGTTAAAATAGCTGAGGTAAAGGATGTGAATGCTAAAGGGAAAACAAAGGAGGATGGCTCTAATAATGATGAAAGGATGGATCTTAATCATCAGAGAGAAAAATTGGAAGATCTTAGTCTCCATAATGTAGCACCAGAGTTTTCTGATTCTGAGGCTGAAGACGCATCCTTTATTGGCTCGAGCAGACAAAATATCATCAAGACCAAATTACCTGCTTCTGTTAATGGAGAACTTTTGGATGAAGAAGGGAAATCAGGAAGACATCCGCTTGGAAATGAAGAAACAGCTGCTGAGGGAGATGATAAGGATGTTCAGAAACTGATTTTTATTAAAGAGCAGCCATCCAAGGTAGATGCTTATTTGAGATGATTTGGATTTGGACTGAGTAATCAAACATGAATTTCAACCAAGAAACAAAATTGATTCCAACCGGACTGAGAAACAAAACTTGCAGAGAAAAAAAAAATTACTATCATTGTTGTGAAATCAGTTCTGAAATGAAAAAGGTTCGATGATATTTTTGCTTATATTTGTTCTTTTACCCAGATAATATATGAGAAAGAAGAATTAAGAAATCAAGAAAAAGTGCTCTTGGAGGAGGTTACTGCAAAGACATCAGAATTACAGCATCTAGAAGAAGAGCTTGAATTGTTAAAGGTAGCTGCAGGAATGGCTTTTGATGATCGAAATTCTGTTGATCTCTGCCTTGAGCAGCTTAAAGAGCAAGTGGACTCCAAAAGGTGCAGTATTACAGAATTGAAGTCACAGTGGTAAGATATGGTTCTGTTCTATTAAGTCTTCATTTTCATTAATACTGCATCTTGCTCTGAAAAAAATCTTTTAATCAGGTGCTTGGGTACATCTAAGATATTGTAAATTGGAGATTTTTTATTTTTATTTTTTAAAGCAGTGTAATACTGTGCTGACCTGAGATTGAAGTCTTGATTTTTCTGGTGTTTCTGATCAATCCCAGGGATTCTTTCAGAAAGCCTCTGGAAGAGAAAAAGAGAAACCTAGAGGAGTCACTTTATGCAAACATACCAGATTCACAAGAAAAGCTTCAAAAGTTGAGAGAACTTGAGCAGGAAAGGCAGTTGGTGTTGTCTGAAATTACAAAGAGGTGTGCTCATAAAGTTAAATTGTAATGAGAAAATTAAATATCTTTACATGTTCTTATGGCAGATTTCTTGTAATTTTATAGGGAGGAGGAACATTCTAAACTTTCTGCTGATCTTGAGCAGCAGCCCAAACTGCCATCAAGAACATCCTACATTGAGCGGATACAGGAGATTACAAAAAATAGTCGGAAACAGGATGCTGATATAAAGAGGATCTTAAAAGAAACTAGGGAGCTTCAGTTGGAGAGTAACTCTATCCAAGAATGCCTTCATCGAACATATGCTGTTCTAGATGAAATAGTGTGCAGGTACGAATTTTTTTTTCCTCATCCCCTTCAAATTTGGTCTTCCCTGATGTTTACAAGAATAAAAATGTATATTTGCTTGATTTACTAAAACGAAGCACCTTTCCACAGGGAAGCAAAGAGAGACCCAGTGGGACGGAAGGCTTATAGGCTCCTCACTAGCATGCACGACTGCTTCGAGCAAATTTCTGAGAAAATACTTACCGCTGATAGAACACGCAGAGAAATGTCTGAACATGAAAAGAAGCTAGCAGCCATGGCGTCCCGAAGTTTAAATGTGGACAAACTACAAGCAGACCTTGATGCCATTGTGAAGGAAAATGAGTGCCTAGAGCAACGCCTTGCAGAAAACCCATGAGTCATTCTTGTTGTGATACAGACTATAATAGCTTGTTTGCAGTCATTTCGTTCATGTTTGTTTAAACATAGTAATCTCCATTCTATTGATTCTATCTAGTGATAGATTGAAAATATACCTGGATTGGGTTGAGGAATCGAAAGTTAATCCTTTCCAGCCTCCGTCATTGCGCTGTTATTAAACCAAGCCAGGAAACAATTATGGCAATGCCAAAGGACATCTACTTCTGCAGTTGCCCTTTGGCACTCGCCTTCTTGCCATGGATAAGAACACCTCTAAGTGACGATTTGCTATTCATTGACCAACATGTTTATTGAATTGTTTGAAGCAGAGAGAAGCATCTAGTAGCTGCCTAGAATTCGGGTTTTAAGCTACGTTCCATATCGAAGCCAAATCTTAACCGTGCAAAGAATCATTTATAGCGGATCCAAATCTTGACTGGTCCGGATGAAGTTTGGGGCGCACGGATTGCTTTCCTTGCATGTTTCCAGATGTAGGAACAAGAGGGCATTACGAAATGTGTGAAGGTGACAATTGTAGCTGTAGAGACAAAACAACGTTGCAGTTTGTTGGCTGACGCTTCCAAATTTGAATACGTGGGATGGAGGCTTGTCACTTTCGTTAGATATGGAATGATGCATTGGTCTTTTCCCATACCTACGCAAATAATCATACATAAGCAATGAAATGAATAAAGAAAGGAGACATGTTGCTTGTTGGGCACTTGGGCCTACAAGGAGATTGAGGGATAAAATCTCACCTTTTTTTTTTTTCTCCTTTTTTCGAGTAGGATATACATCGATTATTTTGTATCTTCAAACCTACTAAAATAACAAATAAATAACAGGACAGGACATTTTCCCTTTTTTATGGAGTCCTTCCAATATTATTTTCTGTTAGGATTGGCATAAATAATAAGTTAATAATAATCCACATTGAATTGAAAGGCAAGAGATTATCACAAAAAGGCGAGAGATTTGGGAATGAGCTTAGAGAGTGCCAATCGGCGACCAAAGCACATGCTAATGTTGATGTTGCGAAAATGATGTTTTCGTAACTTGTCAGGAAAACTACACCAACTAAGACTAAAATTTGGATCTGCTCCACATTTTACTCAACCAGAATCCTAACAACTCCAAACTGTGACAAACACCATATTACTGTAGCCTCGTATCATATAGTATTATTACGACTTAACACACCTAAATCTATTTACTTTTTTTTTTCATTTCTAAAAAATAACCAGTTTCTCTGTAAACATTGGACTCTCTTCATCTCTCTTTTTTTTTTTTTCCATATATATCCATTAACTTTGTTATTATCTTTCCGTTTCTCCTCTATACTTGAGCCAAATTAAGCATTTTGATAAGGAGTTTAATGCATTCGCGTTAATATGTGAACAAAGTTATTTGATTCTTATGGGGTGGCTTGATTCATTGTTGGGCAATCATGCAAGGAAGTTCATTAAGAGGAAAGACAGTGATGCAGGAGAAGCAGGTTTTGATTTACATAACGAATCTTCTTTATATATATAATCATTACACAAGCTAGCCTCGTTTTATTCTCTCACGTTGTATGAGTTTTCTTTACCATTCTGTTTCTGTAATGATAGATTAGCATTTAGTACTCATAATGTGATTGTTTTAATTCTTTAGGTACGTACTGCAGGTTTGTTAGTGGTGGGATTCATAGATCCTACATTTATAGTATGGTTTTGTTCCAGTTTAGACGATTGCAGGATTCATGACCATAAATGCATGCATCTCCTGTTTCTTTCATCAGTGGGTTTTGTTCTCCCTCTGAAGCATTCAGTAATGTATTGACTTACTCGATCTGTTAGTGGTTTCCATAATTTAATATCTCATTTTTTTGTCAAACTACTGCTGCTTTTATTAGTTATGCAGCTTTAGCATTGATGTCCAGGTGCTTCCTGTGATATTGACAAGTTTTTCGGTTTCCGAAACTGCGACAATAGTTTCCCTTCTGTGCGAATCTATGATCTCTTGTCTTTTCTTCTCTCTGTTTCGATAACTAACATAGGTTGCAGATATTCAGTTCGATTCCTCTATTGGGATAGAATGTTCCATGTTTTGTTATGTGATTGCATTTCACTGAAAGCTGGTTTATTCATTTTGGGCTTTATATGTTGATCAAATTGCACTGTATATGCTGTAGATGCTTTAGAATTTAGCACTGGAAAAGCACAAAAAAGGAACAGGAACAGTATTTGCAGACTTTGTTTATACAACCAATTGTTTACATTTCAAGGAATCAAGAAGTGTCTCAGAACTTAGTTACACTTGTTCATGACTTTGTGCCTCTTGCTTTTGGATTTCTTACTTCTTGTGCTCGAATTATCAGGTCGAGCATTGGAAGAACTTAGAGGTTCTCTTTACAATGATATTCGGACTTCGGAAGGAGCCAAGCGCCAACAGCTGCGATTATGTGGACCAATTGTGGCAATGACCTTCAATTTCTTCGCCTCAGTGGGGGTTATTATGGCAAACAAATTAGTTAGTGTCTTTCCTTACTTTCTTATATGTGGATATGATAGTTTGTTTGTGTTAGCAAATTTATCACCATGCATCGGTTATTGAGCTACTGCTTGATTTAAAGAAAATTCAGGTTTATTGTCATATGAGGCAGTTTTTTCAGGTAGCATGCTTAGGTTCCTGTTGGCGTTAAAGGAACTAGTCCCAACTGCTACTTGTTTCTGAAACTTTAGTCCTGCTGCTGTTGTGTTTATGTATCCTTGTATTTGGCTATATGTTCTTTCCCTTTCTTGTCCTTTTATTGAAGCAATATGATCCCAAAGATGGGAAAATTTGTTAGGATGAACTGTTCCCAGAGAAATCTCATATTGGGTTTTTGATTACCTACAGGTGATGAAGAATGTTGGGTTTAATTTCCCAATCTTCCTCACATTAATCCACTATTCCACTTCATGGATTCTACTTGGCCTTCTTAGAGCACTGTCATTGCTTCCAGTCTCCCCTCCCTCTAAAGCTACTCCTTTTGCTCCTCTCTTCTTATTGGGCGTTGTCATGTCCTTTGCCTCTGGTCTTGCCAATGCCAGTCTAAATCATAACAGGTTTGTGTGTAGGCTTCAAAAATCTTTCTTATAAAGTAACTTGTGGCCAAGTCAAATTTCCTTAACTCTTCAGTTCATTTGCAGTGTTGGTTTCTATCAGATGGCTAAAATTGCAGTCACTCCTTCCATTGTTCTTGCAGAGTTCATTCTCTCTAGGAAAACAATTTCCTACAAGAAGGTCAGCATTTTGAACTTTAATTCCCATAGACTTTTTTCTGCGAAATTCTTTTCAAAAATACAGGTAGTTGAATGAACATGGCCAGTAATGGCTTCTCAATGACCGAGATAATTCTGCAGGTTTTGGCTTTGGTTATTGTCTCAGGAGGTGTGACAGTTGCAACAGTGAAAGATTTGGAGTTCAATTTCTTTGGTGCTTGCATTGCAATTGCATGGATAGTTCCAAGCGCAATAAATAAAATTCTCTGGTCGAATCTACAACAACAAGCCAACTGGACTGCTCTGGCGTAAGTTAAACGAAATCTTGATTTGCTTTTGCAATCTAGATTAAGTAATTAGTCTCATTTAATAAGAGTGATTTTCCTTAAATTTGCAGGTTGATGTGGAAGACAACGCCTGTAACGATTTTTTTCTTACTAGCCTTGATGCCATGGTTGGATCCACCAGGGGTTTTATCATTCAAGTGGGATCTCTACAGCTCATCTGCTATTTTTTTGACAGCTCTCTTTGGTTTTCTCCTACAATGGTCTGGGGCTTTGGCACTTGGGTGAGGTTCTAATCACTCACGGGCTCATGGTTTAGGGTTTATAGTTGGTTGTGTTTCTTAGTTTGAGTAATTTTTATAATCAGGCGTCATTCTTTTCTTTCAGGGCAACATCTGCAACATCGCATGTGGTTCTCGGACAGTTCAAGTCTTGTGTGATCCTACTCGGAGGTTATCTAATTTTTGGTTCAGATCCTGGGTGGGTGAGCATCTGCGGAGCTCTCACAGCTCTCTCTGGAATGTCAGTTTACACATCACTGAACTTGCAGGAATCGCATGAAAAATTGAATTTCCAGCTTCAGACACAAACGTTGCCTTTATCAAAACCCAAGACACAAACTGAAACTTCTACCGGAGACGAACAACCTAGTTGAAGCTGGCACGGCAAATGCTATCTGATTCGTTGTCTTGGTACAAAACCTTTAACAATGTCTTGGTGCCCGTCTTCAACCTCAGGAATTTTGAATCTGACTAGCAGAATACAATGTATAGAAAAGATTAGTTGCTTTTGAATTTACTAAACTAAAATATGCATTTTGCAAGACACAGACCAGAATTTAGGATCGGTTGCCAAATTTACTTAGCTTCAAATTCGTGGGGACGCACAGGCCGTCCTAGCGAACAAAGATCAATGGATGCGAAGAGAGTTTAAGCCCCAACCTGGTACAGCTAAGAAATCAGCGACAGCATCTGTATGCAGGTCAATTTCAGAGTTTCTTGCAATGGTTTTAACCCCTGGTAAGTTTAGTTTGTTAAAGTACGAGTCTGGAGCAAATCTGCTATTCTGGAGCTCTTTAACAATCAAAGGAAATTTAATGGAACAGCTTCAAACAGACGATGCAAAGAACCAGCAGATTCACCGGGCTATCTGTTTTAAACATTACATGTTCTGCATTCTTCTGCTATCTGTTTTAAACATTACATCCTCTGCATTCTTCTTAACTACAGACACATGTCCGCTTGCCTACATAACTGAGTTGACAACAGCCTCTAAAAGAAAAATGAAGAGCCCATTCCAGTGCTCTAATCAAAGTTCTATACTTCGCCATCAAAATTTAATTTACAGGTGAGACAACTGAAAGAAAAAATTGGTAAATCCCACCTACTCTCAACCGCGTGTATCATCTCACGGAATTAACAAGGCTTCAAAAAAACAACAAAAGTCCACCCCAAGCAGGAAAGATGCTAAAAAGATGGGGGGAAACAAGCACAAAGCAAGCAGGGCAACAAAAAAAACACGGACCAATTTTTGCTTAAAAGGGTCAGAGTTCTATATCCCCTACCCATATATCATGTTAACCTAAACCTCCCAGCTGCATTTATATTTACACTTCCAAGCACTCTGAAGGCTTCCCTTGTCTCAGGCTTTAAGTTGAGGCCATTGATAGAGGTTTCATATTCTTAGTAGTTAGAGTTCCAGTTGATCTGTGTAAGTTGAGGCTGCTGATAAGGACCACATGGGGGTATCACAGGTTCAACAGTTGCAGGCATGGCCTGAGACTGTTGCACGAGTTGATTAACAGTTGAAGGTGCAGCCATTGTTTGCAATGGTGGATAGATTCCAGGATAGGCACCATGACCAGCCTGTTGAGGAGAGAAGGCGAGGTGCTGTCCCTGAGGGTGAAGGTGGTATAGAGAACTGAGTTGCAAGCTGGATATATCTTGCCCAGGTGGAGGAATCCAAGATGAAACTTCAGTCTGCATCGCCATGACCAAATGAAAGAAAACCATTAATCAAAAATTAAAAGTACTAACGGAGAGTTAGATCTTAAAAAAAAAAAAAAAAGGTTATGGAGAGAATAATGCAATAGACACCCTAAGATTGATAGCTTTAATGCACTGATTTGGCACTTGAAAACAACCAATCATTCAAGTATATGGCAGAGAGCAAATAGAACATATGGGTTTCTCCTCATATTCCTGCAATGAAAACTAAAAGCTATGAAAAGGAAAAGTTAAAACCAACCAGTGGTCCGGGGGTGTAAATGTTTCTTTCCTTCAACTGAGATGCTGATAGATCATCGTTACCAGCAGAGCTTCCAGAGGTTACACCTGGACCAGGATTGAAGTCCATAGGGGAAGAGCCATACGATCCATACAAAGTTGGGAGTGCAATCGGAGTTGGGTTTCCAGCACTAGTTCCTGGCTTAAATTGTGGAAGAGGGAACTTAACACCAGCAGCAGTAGGTGCTGGTGTAAGATATGCATTGCCAGTCGATGGCTGTTGAGGGAGCCCATTGTGGCTCAAGAATTGATGCATTGGTGGCAAAAAAAATGGATTGAAGTAATGTCCATACTGAAGATAGTTAGGAGGGTATGAAGGCCTGAAAAGAAGTGGGTGTGCAGAACCAGCAACAGAGTTCTGCATCGGTTGACTCAGACTTGGAGTAGATGAAGCTATAGAATTGTCACTCTGCAATTTGACAAAGAACAGAACAATTGGTTTAATAACAGAAAAGGCAGAGGAAAGACACACACAAGAACCATCATCTCACGCAAAATGGCACAGAAATAGATAGTAAACACCATACATCCTTAAAAGGAGCCTTTTTTCCCCCTTTATTAGTAGGCTCAAGGAAAGATTCTGGAATCTCTGCTGATACCATTATATGCATCTCTCATGAAGTTAAAAGATAACAAAATTGTTGTGAAGAAAGGAGAAAGCAAGCTTAACCCTCAAGGGTTATTACACACATGGACCTCCAAAAAAAGGTTTTTGTGTATGTGTACTGTGTAAAGCAGAATAAAAATTGCACAAGCTTTCTCCAATCTTTAATAGCTTGTTTCCAAGGGAAAAAGAAGTACCCCAAGAGGATATGGCATATTGCATAAAGCTAATCCATTGTTCACCCAAGAATATAGCAAGGTTTGGTGTCTATAGGTCAACACTGACAGAGATTCGACAATCTATAACTTTCATATGCAAAATTAGTGCCAGCATGATATTCCCACATTGATAAAGAATATTATTGACGATAGAAATTTTACTCTTTAACAGTTATAATGGCCAGAGCTTGATAAATAAATGAAAAAGAGCAAGAGAAGCAAAAGCTTACAACAAAGCCTGAAAGTTGAGAAACATCCTGTGCCTGAGTCTCATGTCCTGGGAATGGTACAAGGTGAGTGGTCTGCATGGGTGGCATAATCCCAATACCATAGTTTGGAGCAATTTGAACAGTGGAGCACTGATTGCCTTCTGGAAGTAACATTCCATCCTGCTTTGACTGATCAGCTTTTGAATCTGCACTAGGTGCAACATTGCCCTCTGGCATTGCTACTTTTTCAAGCACAGATTGAGGAGACTCTGGTTGATCTGAATGGTCAATTTGCATAGGTGATGATCCACTATCATTGCTGCACGTCAATAAAGAATATATATATATATATATATATCACCATGACTTAAAACTTCGAAATATTTCGTGTGATACAAAAGATCCAAAAATTCCAGAGGTACAATAAAAGGCAAATAAAAGGCTAAAGGCTTGTTGCAGGCACAAAAACTCGGGAGATAATAGGGCAAGTGAGCACACATGTAGCATAACCACATAACCTGACTATCCCTACCCAATCCCTGGAAAAGCCTCCATGTTTACAATCCAACAAAAATAATGAAGCATGCCCCTGGAAAATCTCAATTTTGCTATCCCACAAAATGATTCAAACAAAGACATTTACAAAATCAATAATTTCAGACATGTATTTACATGGCAATCCATAAGAGAGCAAATTATTATAATGTTCACCAACCTAGAAGGTTTTATGGCAGTTTCATCAGTAGGAACTGCCAGTTCAACAGCATTCATAGAGTTAATGTCACCATCAACACCATTGCTACATTTTGTTCCTGGTACAGAATTAGCATCAAAGCTTCCAAAAGTCAAACCACCAATGCCATATTCCTTTCCTGGTCCAGAATTTGTATCAAAGCTTCCAAATGTCAAACCACTTTTTAAAGCTTCTGGAACTTTAAAGTGATTTGGAAATTTAACATGTCCATTAGTGATGGTTGGTTCGGGCAGTGACTGAGAACTGACTTTAACTTGAGCTTCCTCAGACAAGACTGCCGCTTAAAAAATAAAAGCATGTTTAGAATCCAGAAGTAAAAGGATAAAAATATGAAACTTGTAACAAGCGGAATAACAGTACTTTTTAAAGAAAAGGCCAATTCTTCTGATGAATGTCTATCGTTACTAGAAGACCTGACAACCAAAGAATCATCATATGTAGACAAAGTCGAGGGCTGCAGAGATTCAGACAGCTGATTCTTTCCAGCTGCCTTTGATTTGCTTGGTACAACTTTTTTCTTTCCTTGAATATGATTCTGTTCAGCAGCATTCCACTGGCTAGCCACTTCACGTTTAATTGTACCAACAGCACCAGGATTTCTAGTCATAGATGGGGCCAATATGGGGTCTGGAGAAGAAGATACAGAACCAGATACAGATGCTGGAATGGTAGAAGTTGTGGGACCATTGGAAACCTTAGATAGCATTACAGAGACAGAAATTTGTGTAGGTGCTGAAGGACTTGCTGCAGGTAGTGGGGAAGATGCATCTGACTTCTTCACAGCAAGAGCTGAACTACCTGCAGCAGCAGCAGCAGGCAGCTGTGGACTATGTCCAAGAATAGAACTCCCATTGGATAAAGTTGGGGGGCCATTGGGTGTGGCAGTTAAATCTCTGTGACAGTTGAACAAATAAATTAGCTAGAATGGGAAAACAGTTCTACATGAGTGCCATATGCGATAGCACAATGAATGTATGTTAATGTAGTTACTTTGTCGTAGGAATCGCTGCATTATAATTTGTTTTCTGTATAGAGTGTGAAGAGTTCAAAGCATTTCTGTCTGTTATGTGATCAACTCCATTTTCCCTTCGAGTAGCCACATTCCTCCCACCAGCAGCACCTGACAAGCAGTTCAGGAAGCAATTCATCAAGTACCAAGTAACAGTCCACAATCACAGCTGACAACCTCTCAATTTCTAACCCAACACTTCCTCTTTTAACTTTATTAGCATGGAAACCATAATCCTAGATAAGATGGCCACATCTACTATACAAAGTTTCAATATCTAATCAAAAACAGAAATAAAACCAAAATCTGATACAATTTTCATATTTGAAGCTGTAATGCTCAGACATATAGAAAATTAAAGGGACTACATACATCTTGACTCAATGATATTCTGTTACAGTGCATTAAAATAGGAACAATCACTGTTTACTTACTTTCAACTCATTAAAACATATTAGAAATCAGAGTAATATATATATATATATATATAAAAAGATGTTAAGGAAAAGAAAAAACATGTCCAGGTATTTTTCTAAACTGGGTTTGGTACATATATCACATCCAAAAATGACAATGTCCTCGATCATAATAGAATTCTTACCAGAATAGTTTCCTCGACCACCCCTAGTCCCTCTGCCTGGAGTCTGCAATGTCAGCAATGATACAAGCATTGAATTACGAAATGGTATAGCTAACAAAACCAAACAGGCACACTCAAGAAAGAAAACAAAAGCACTTGCAAATTTCTGAAAGATCAATATATCTTACCCCCTTTCTCCGATCACGTTTCCTCTTGACTTCATGAAATGTATCTGCCAGCCAACAATTATTATTAAATTGAAACAATTCATTAGGGTATGATTGTCAAGAATAATATCATTTAGTAAGAGTGACATAGATTGAACATTAAAAGTGTCCACTCAACTTGCAAGGATTGTGCAGATTAGAAAAATTGTGCAAGTAATCAAAAGCTAAATAAATGTTGTGAAAATTAAATTCACTAAAACTCCATTGAGTAACTATAAAGAGGAAAAGAGTGGACACAAATCAACACTCAAATATTGGGTTTTTGCTTATTGTTACTCAGGAACTGAGTTGCTCATAAAAAAGAAAAAAAGATCAACAGGTGCTGCTCATAAAAAAAGAAAAAAAGATCGATAGGGGCTTTCTCAATTAGGATTATTTAGTCTGACTTTTTAATTGTTCTATGTCCCTCCACAATCTTTCAAGCAACAAATCAAAAAGTAAATAAAACTAGAACTTTAAATTAGGCATGCATTAACCTAAAGAATTTTTCTCCCCAACCCAGAAAACCTCTTCCTTGCAAAACCATAATCCAAAAATAAATACTTTGCTCAAAATTTCCCCTTTCTTCTCCTCCATTTACTATCAAGAAAATAAATAAACAGCAACAGAGACCAAAAAGAAAACCCTAAAAGGAATGTCCAGATAATAATAAGAGCTAATTTAGCTTGTTCAAAAAGTCTGGATGGTTTTGAAAACAACACTAGCATCGATGCACACTCTTAAAACAAGAAAACCCAGAAAACAAATAATGCCAAGTTCACAGCTTTATTAATCCAATAATCAAAATAACACATATACAAGACCCAAAGCTCTCTCCTTTCCATAATTCACAGTAATTACGAAAATTCACAGACCAAAACAGATCATAAAACAAGGAAAACACAACGAAAACAGAAAACGCAAACAGCAGCCATTCAAACCTAATGCACGAACAAAGAAAAATACAAAAACAAAACACTAATGAATGCTCGCAGAAATATACCTAAATAAAGGAGCTTTTGTGCAGTGTCATCAGGATCCATAGAACAGTCTTGAAGAACAGAGTAAACATCCTCATCACTGTGTTGTTTTCCTGTGATTTCTCTAATGCTTTGTATGGTTTTCTTCATATTATCTGGGATCGTTCCGAAGCCGCCGCCACCTCCACCACCCCGGCCTCCGCCGCCGCCACTATTGCTCATGTCGTTGTGTGTAGTTTTTGTTTTCTTCTATGTTGTTATTGTTTTGCTCTTCTTGTTTTATTTTTATTTTCTTGGGATAAACCTTGTTTTATTATTTTATTTCCTTAGGAGAGAAAGATAGTGAAAACCAAAGAGGGGGGGGGGGTGTGGGGGGAAGGAAAGACAGAGAGAGGAAATTTGAGCTAAGAAAATGGATAAATGAGTAGTTGGAGCCCAACCCAAAGGGGTGGCTTATACACGAAAGAAGAGGGGAGGGCAGAGGCTTAAGCTTGGAGACAGAGAGCACGGAGTCATATGGAATATTTGGGGATATTTTTTTTGTTTTTTGTGTTACTTTTTGAGAGAGGGAGGGCGAGAGAGGAGGGCGAAACTAGAAAGAAAGAAAGAAAGAAAAAGGGTGAGAGAAAGGTTGCGTAGGAGGAATGAGAGTTGGGTTGGATTGTTAGGGAGCAGCTTACATATACGGTGTTATTGTACTTTAATTTTGAGCATGTCAGCCAACTTATGTGCTTTAATTTTGAGCATTTCAGCCATCACTTTTTTGTTCCAATTCCTTTCTCTTCTTATAATGGCCCTCCAATCCATTATAAATTTATGTACATTAGATGTGTGCCATATGTATGTATTTAAGTGACCACTCATGTCTATAAATTCAAACCTTCAGAGTTGGCATGTCCAAACTTTAAAGAGAATAGCTGATTTAAATATTTTTTGAAAAGGGATGGCACTATAAATTTACCATTTTTTTAAAAAAAAAAATTTTGTAAAGGAATGGCACTATAAATTTACCATTACAAATGTGTGTATGTGTGTGTGGTGGTGGGGGTTTTTAGTTTTTATAAACTATAGAATCACAAACGACCATAAGGCCAAATGTTTTAATTTAACAAAATAAGAAAACTACCTATTTAATGTATAATTTTTTTATTTTACTACCTCATTTTTTATCCAATCGATCAACTGAGGGGCGAGGAGATAGATATGAGTCTTCGAAGCTTGTATGAGATTGACCAAAGCATTCCTAGCTCTTTTTAAGCTCCATTTGTTTTGTAAAATAACTTCCAATAAGAAAAGCAATTATAGAGAAGCTACTTTTCGCAAAGTTGTTTTTAAAAATATATATATATATATTTTGACGTTTGGCAATTACATGAAAAAACTACTAAAAAATATATTTTAGCGTTTGTTTGATATAGAAAACTCGAAATGAAAAACGGATCGTGCTTTTTATATTAGCGAGTTTTGAAGGAGATTCAATAAAGTATATACAAAAAGATCTCACATTCATAATAGTCCATATACAAAAATCTATCAAAACAAAGCATATGCGTTACTAGTATGTTGATGTACCAAAACAGAAAGCATCATTTATAATCGGGAATATATCAAGACAGAGACCCATGACGTTGAAATATCATTTGGACCATAATTTTTTTTCCCTCATTCGGATGTAAGAAATATTTTAAAATCAATTTATAGTTGAAACTAAATCTTTTTTCAAAAGATTTTTAAAATCAATAAATGTATTTATATATTGACTCTAAATTTAAATTTAAAAAATAAAATATTCATTTTTTAACCATCAAACCAATTCATCAAAACTACTTGTAACAAAATCAAGTCAATATTCATATTCAATAAAAATATTTCTTAGTAATCCTAGCATTGTTATGCTAGTAAATCAATTAAGAATTCTTTTTCTTTTTTCTTTTTTCTTTTTTGAAAATTGAATTGATAATTTAGTCTAAAAAATAGTTTTATAAATTATTAGTTATCATTTATAGATAATTATTCATTTGGTTTTAAAAGGTTAATTGGAATAATTTGTAACTAATTATTGACTATAATTACCAACAAAATTTTACAATTGATTAAAATTAGTCACAAATTATTGATTTAGTTGCAAATAAAAAATAATATATTTTTTAATGAATTGATTAGTTTCAAATTTTTTCATAAATGATTGCAATCTTCCGATAATCATTTCCAATAATTTAAGTGTATTTTAGGTAGTGTTTGAGATAATGGTAAAAAAAATAGAGATAATTATTGAAATATTTATCATAAAAATAATTTTAAGGTATAAAAATGGTTTCTAATAATATTTAATGTATTAATAAATCAAAAAATCAAATGTTAGTAGAAATAGAGAAAAATAATTAAATAATTAATAATAATTGATAAGAAATAATTAAAAATTAATTTGATATATTTTAAATAAAAAAGGAGACGAGAGAAAAAAATTTTTAAAATTGTTAAAATATATCGAAAGAGAGGTGAGTAATGCGAGAACGAGACAAGTTGTGAAAGAGAGAGATTTTTTTTTCTTTTTTAGCTTGAAAGTCACTTTCTCGTAAATTGTTTATTAATTTTCATTGACTAGAAATCAAATTTTGTTGAACTTTTTTTTCCTAAATGTGAAATAAATTTAAAAAAATGGGGAAAAATAAAAAAAAGTTCTTGAAACTTATTTTCTCCTAAACAAATACAGACCTTAATAGTATTAGTAATTTTTTTTAACTTAGGGAATTCCTAGCTAGGTGTTTCCTTAACCATAAATTAATTCTATGAAACCAAGGTTAATAGTTGGTTAAATATAATGAAAAACAAAGGATAACATACTTAAGCTAATTGGATCGATTATATGTAATCTATCTTTATGATAGATCACTAATTTGGTTCACTTTGATTAGTAATTTTTGCCTTAAAAATTCACATGCTTAATACATTATGTAATTATTATTCTTAGAAAAAAATAAAATTATATGGATAAGTGTATTTAAAATTTTCAATACAAAAACGAAACCTAAACTATTGTTACTTAATCTACTTTTCGTTATATGTTATATCAACAATTATATTTCAAACCCATGAAATATTTTTCAAGTTACAAAACCTCGTATGTTCTATTTTTGAAGTTTTTATATTTTATATATATATATATATATATATATATATATATATATATATATATATATTAGTTAGAGACATTTTCGGTCAAAAAATTTACTCATAGTCAAAAAAATTGATTAGAATGATAGATTGAAGGCTTAAATGTTATTCGGAGATATAATAGATACAATTAGAAATATAGAGATAAATTAAAGGTTTAGACTATTATATAAGAACAGATTTAACTATTTATCCAAAAAAAATTGTTATTGAACTAAGAAAAATTGGTAACTTCCTCTCTCTAATTTAAGATTAGGATAGAACATCAAATTTATTCAATCTCAAATCTATACCCTAGTCAAATTCAACACTATTAAATCCACACCCACACCATTGTTAAATCTACATGTAACAGTCACATCAAATACTTAACACATCCAAAGTCTTTTCGGCCATAATTTTTTTAGTTTTAATTGTTTTGCCCAAAAGGTTTTTATTAAAGAATTTAAAAATTAGTCGCTTGTCGATTGAGAATAGAAGGTATTTTTATAAAATTAGGTATAAATGTATATTAACTTACGCTTGAAAAGCATGAAAATTGATGTCTTTTTAGATGAAAAGTTACTTATTTTTTTATTTTAAATAACCTTAAAGAACTCTAAGGTGTATTTTGAATATCGAAATAAAAAGTTTAGAATGAAAATACATTAATTGAAATAAAAATTAGAAAATCATAATGGTATTTTCATTCTAATATTGTATTATGAAATAGTAATAAAGAAGCATAAAAAAATTTAAAAATTTATGATTTTTAAGATGAATAAAAATAATGATTAAAAAATAATAATTTCATCAACTAAAATGGTAGTAAAAATGATAGAGGTTATTGTGGTAGTAGTGGATGAGGAGGAGGAGGAGGAGAGAGGTATGAGTAGTAGTAATGGTAATAATATATATTTTTTAAAAAATTAATATCACCACCATAGAAGATGGAAGTGGAGTTTTTTTCAATCACCACCGCTAATGGTGAAGGTGGTGGTGGTATTAGTGATAGAGGTGGAGATACTAGCAAAAGTAGTTGATGTACAATAAATAAAAATAATACATCACTATTTTGAAAGGAAAAAAAATCTTATTCTCATTTCTTGTTTTTATTCACATTTGTGTCTATGATAATAAAACTATATTTAATTTTCATTCTCATTTTTAATTTTCATTGTCACTTCATTTTTTTTTTTAACCAAACACTTACTAAATGAAAATAAAACTTTTATTCTCATTTTGATAATTTCATTCACTATTACCAAACAACATCTAAAAGGTAAAATATGGCAAACCTCCTCTCAATATTGTTGATCAAAATGAAAATAATTCTTGAAGAAATATGTTATAGAGATGCACATAAGTTTTATTTATGATTTTACTTAAATGCTCTTAACAACTTGACCTCATTTTGTTTAATATGTATATTAAAAGAATAGAAAAGTAAATTAATTTGTTTTAAAATTATAAAAATGACATGGCCTTCTTGAAAAAAATAAAATACTTCAAAATAATTAACAATATTTACTTCATAAGTCTACTTTAAAGAGAGAGACAAACACAAAAAAAAAAAGATTAAAAAAAAAATCACATCCGAACCCACTAAAAATGATTAAAAAAAAAACCCTAAACTAAAATGTTTTGGTTATCTCTCTCTTATTTATCTCTTATCATTGTATTTATCTTGGTCCACTTTGAGAAGAAATAGAGAAAAAAAATTACATGTAAATCCATGAAAAGTAAAACGAATATTTCCACATAAACTTTTTTTTTTAATTCTTTCTCCTTTTTATGTCTATCTCTCTTATAAAAATAAATATTGTTAATTACTTTTTTAGTATTTTAAAATTCCTCTTCCTTTTCCTCCTCTGTCTTTCTTTTCGTTCTTTTTCTTTTTTTCTTTTTTTTTTTTAACTTTTGCATCAAAGCAAAGATCCTAACACCATTTTTACACATTATATCTCTTAATCTATCAAATTTTCAATAACTACCAAAATCTCATCTATTAATAACTCCAAATCTCGCTACCATCAATAACTCAAGGTTAACCTCTTTAATCTCCTCCT